AGTTTGTTTATTTTCTATTTCATTTATTTCTGCTTGTATCTTCATTATTTCCTTTCTCCTGGAGTTGTCTGGATTTTTTGCTGTTGCTTTTCCAATTCTCTAAGGCATGATGTTTGGTGATCCATTTGCCTTCTTTCCATCTTCCTCTTATGTGCACTAATCTCTATGAACTTCCTTCTTATGACTGCTTTAGCAGTGTCCCAAAGTTTATGGAAACTTGTGTCCTCATTGTCGTTGGCTTCCATGAATCTTTTGATTTCAGTCTTTTATTTCTTCAGTAGTTGTGGAGTCATTCAGGAGTAGGTTATTTAGTTTCCATGTATTTGATTATTTTTGAGGATTTCTCTTGAAATTAAACTCTAGTTTAATTCCATCATGGCCAGAGTCGATGCTGGATATAGTTTTTATGCCTTTGAATCTGTAGAGGCTTGCTTTGTGCTGTATGATGTGATCAGTCTTCAACAATGTTCCATATGGGAGTGAGAAAAAAGTGTGTCTTGTGGTTTTTGGATGGAAAGTTCTATAGATGTCTCTTAAGTCTATTTGACTTATGGTATTATTTAGATCCTTTATCTCTTTAACTATTTTTTTGTCTAGATGATCTGTCCAGAGGGGCTAGTGCAGTGTTGAGGTCTCCAACAATTAGTGTATTGCAATCTATCTCTCCTTTTAGATCTAACAGTCTATCCTTCACATATTTGGGTGCTCCTGTGTTAAGCGCATAGATATTTATAAGCATTATATCTTCTCGATCTATTTATCCTTTTACTACAATATAGTGCCCTTCTTTGTCTCTTTGAACAGTTTTTGTTTTAAAGCCTATTTTGTCAGAAATTAGTATCACGACTCAGCTCTTTTTTGGTTCCCATTTGCATGGAAAACCTTTCTCCAACCCTTCACTTTCAGTCTATGTATGTCTTTATCCATGACGTGGGTTTCCTGTAGGCAGCAGATAAAGGGTTTCTGCTTTTTTTTTTTTTTTTTTTTTCCTTTTGAAAGTCTTTTTTTCTTTTTTCCTTTGTTTCTATCTGTTAATTCTTTAGTTTTCCTGGAGCAGTACTTTCTTCAGGGTTTCTTGAAGAGCTGGTCTGGTGTTGGCAAATTCTTTCAGGTTTTGTTTGTCTGAGAAGATTTTAATCTTTTTTTTTTCCATATAAAGGATAGTCTTGTAGGATTCAATAATCTTGGTTGAAATTGTTTCTCTCTTAGCACTTTCATACATCTTCCCATTCTTTCCTTGCTTGCATTGTTTCCGTTGAGAGGTCCGGAGTTAGCCTGATGGGATGACCTTTTTAAGTCACTTCTTATTTCTTTCTTGCCAGCTTTAGTATCATGTCTTTATCTGTGGTATTGGACAGTCTAGCTAAGATGTGCCTTGGGGAAGATCATCTGGGGTTGAGTCTATTTGTGATCCTTTGTATTTCTTGGGTCTGGATGTTTGAGTGCCTCTCTAGACTTGGGAAATTTTCTTCCAGAATTTCATGGAATAGATTTTCCATGCCGTTATTAGTTTCTTCACCTTCTGGGATGCCAATTATTCTGATGTTTGGGAGTCTTATGGAATCTAGTATTTCTCATATATTATCCTCTTTTTTTTTGTTATTTTCTCTATCTTCTTGGTGGTTTTTTTCTAGGTCAGAGGTTTTATCTTCTACATCAGAGATTTGATTTTCAGCATGGTCTAGTCGACTTTTAATACTTTCAAGAGAGTTTTTCATTTCCTGTATTACAGACTTTATCTCTAATAGCTCCATCTGATTCTTTCTGAGAGTGTCCATTTCTTCTTTCATATCATGGAAGGACTTGCTAATCTCCTGTAGTTCACTGTCTCTTTTCTGTTCCAACTAATAGAATTTGTTCACCATGAATGCTCTAAATTCTTTCTCTGACATTTTGGTAATGTCCTCAGATTTTAGGAGAGATGGAGGGAAGTTACACTGTTCCTTTGATGCAGACATATTTGCTGGTTTATTCAGACCTGAGGCTCTTCTACTTCTAGCCATTGGAAGATGTATTCACTTTTGAATACCTCTTAGGAGAACATTTCTTCAACTAGGAGCAAGTGTATTTCCCTTTTGCTGTGAAATAATGTGTGCGGAAGTCTCTCTTTTGTTGTTTTTAGCAATGTACTTTTGAGAATTGTACTCTATTCAGGTGTCTGAAGAGTAGTATCTCCTTATTCACAGGTGGTTCAGTACAGGGAGGATCCCAGAGAACCTTATAATACTAGGGAATTTCAGAACTGTGATTCTAGATCTGTCTAATCTCTCTGGCAGGGTGGGGATGAGGA